ATATTTTACTTTTTTTTTTTAAGTTGTATTTTCTATTCTGCTGTTTAAGCTTGTAGGAGGTGTTTCTGGAGAACTTACAGCTTGCAGTGGAGTTGCAGCTGGAGTTAAGTATGAGGCTAGAGAGGTTTAATGTGGTAGCATACTGGCAAGAACTCTGATCACTTGTCTTTTTAAATGCAGAAAAGGAAAACTATGACTAGTTGGTACTTTGGGTTCTTTGTGAAGATTTAGACTCCTCTTTCATCCCTAGAAGTATATGAACTGCTGCAAATGAGTAGGATACTGAAATAAAAAAATGGAGCTGCATATGCTTTTTGTTCTTGTTTACAGGTATTTCTGTGGCATTCTTAATAATACTGTTGTGTTCAGAAAGAGATCATGGTAACTGTCATGACAACTGAAAAACAGAAGGGGTTGTCGTTCTTTTTAAAGTTTGGGAGTGGAGACAGATTATATGACTTGCCTGAGAACACACATGATGTCTGTGGCAACGCTCAAGTCTTTCCTCACGCTATTTAAAGGACTTGATTGACAATCCTGTTTTCACAGTAGTATTTTTATAAGACCTAGGTTGTGTTGCACTTTCTTAGTACCTGATAACAACTCCTGTTGTCTGAACCTGTTTGTTTATGGGCTTACAAACCTAGAATAATAAAGTGGTTTGGATAATTTTGGCACAGGGCTCCTATTCAGACATTTGATAGTAATTGACCTTCCTTCTGTGGAGGAGCCTGGCTCACTGCACAGCTGCACATATGCATGTGCTAGTACATCATTGAGGAGTGAACAACTGGTGGGCAAACATTACAAGTCCCGTATGTGCAGTCTGATACGACAAATAGTGAGCAAAATGTACTTTAGAAGCAATTGTTCTGGATATTATTTAATTATATTTTCTAGTTAGACAGCTTGTGTTGAAGCATAGTTAGCAGCTTAGTAAGTGTTGAGCCAGTGTTGTTTTAATACTGAAGAGGAGCTTCTGTAAACTTGTCTCTTTCCTGACTGTAGTAAATGTACATTCAAAATGACAGACATCCTGGTTTTCATGGATTAAGGATGCCACAGATGAAGGTTGAAAGTCTGCAGCTTTATATAGCTTATAGGTACTATGTGAACATAGAGCATCTGCTCACTTTCAAGACCCCTCAGCAGTAAACCTGATCTCACTAGGATGAGGAAGAAGGCTTCACTAAATTTCTAAAGACTCAGTGGTTTCTCCATGCATAGTACTGTTAAAAGTCCTAAGTTAAAACGAAGCTTGAGTTTCTTTCTATCTTCTTACTATCAAAGACCTCCTTTGATAGTAAAACAAAATTTGTTTGACATGGTTTTGTTCTTAGCAAACATTGACTTGTTTTTTTTCCCATCTCCTTTTAAATGCTTATTGGAACAAGTAGACTATTAATACTACTTCTAAACCTGAAATTAAACTTACTAGCCCATAGTTTTTCAGTACTTTTTAAGCTTTTATTTATTCCAGTTTTCTTGACTCTGCATTGCTGTTAACTTTGTAAGCAATTTACTCAGTTGACTTCATTAAAGAAAAAGCATTTAATGCATCTTCCTTTTCAGGGTCATGGCAGGCTTTTGGGGTGAATGGCACTGCTTCTGTTGGTCTTCGTATTTTGCTGTGTCCATCCTGTCTAGCATCTTGCCCCCATGTGCTTGTGGTAGTTACTATACTCTACCTTAGTAATCTGACCTAGTTTCAGTTTCTTGAACACTTATATTTTATGGTCAGTGAAGGCTTCATGACTTGGCCAACTCGACTTCTTTACTGGCTTTATTCAACCAGTAGGATTGTTTGGATGTAATGACCATCCTGCTCAGTAACAAGAGTTCCGTAACTCCATTTTATCCCTTGGGCTTCTCCATAACTTTTTTTGCCTTGCCCTTGCCTATTATGAGACTTGCCTGAATATGTTTACTCTCTGCTTTCTTGAATACCTGTGTTGGATTTTTCTGAGCTATTCTTACTCCTTTCCATTTTAAGGGTAATCAGTTAGTTTGGGTTTGGGTTTGGGTTTGGTTTTGTTGTTTGGTTTTTTTTCCCCCCATTTCTTTCACCCAACTTACATTCATCTTTGTATGTTTACTAGTTCCTTCAAATTGCTTAGAGGGCTCTTCCAGGTTGGATTTTCTGTGCAGTCTTTAAAAGGGCAAAACTAATGATTGGTAAATGGTCTAATAGAGTTAATGACACAAATTGTAAAGGTCATAGTAGTTGGTGTTGTCCTTTGTACGACCAACAAACAACTTATTTTAACACATGACTGTAAGGGGGAGGATTTGTGTGTGCAAACTGAAATAAATCTACCTGTTTAATGATCGTGTCTAAAAATGGTTTGCATGATTTAGACTTCCAAATATATTGTTTCCACAGTCTTAAGCATGCTTTTGGGATTTGGTGTTCATTAGATCCATAGTTCTTACCCTAGGTCTCTAGCTTCCTGTTTTTTGAGTGTGTGCGTGTATGCTGCTGGGGAGGGGTAATGAGAGAGCACAGTGCCAAACTCATTAGATGTTGTTTGTCATGGAGAAGGACCAAAGAAGCCTGAGTCAGAGGAGTGCTCTTCTGGCTTCTCCACCTCTTTCTCAGCTCTTCCCAGCTGGTGTTAATTCTGATCTCTCCACCTCAGCTCTGTGAAACTTAAATTTTGAATGTACATCTGCTTTTTGTAAATCCCAGGGACATTGAAAGTGGATAAATTGTCTTAAATATTTTAAGATTTCTTGAATATTGCTGCTAGTGAGGTAGGACTCTCTCCAATGGTGAGAGTTTAAGCACAAACAATGTGCTGCTACTGTTTCAGAAGCCATTAATGACAGTTAATGGTTATGCACAGGACTTGAAGACATCCAACTGTGGTTTTCCAATCAGATTTTTAGTGTTACTTCAAATTCTCTGTACCAATAACCATTTTATTTCGAAGTTTTGAGTAGCTAGATAGTTGCTGTTATTAGGTTACCTTTTTCATCCTTTCACCTAGACTTCTAATACTAATAATGAGTCGGGAAACATTTGTGATCTTGCACACAAGTACACTAAAAGATGTGGAAAACCTGTAACTAACTACTGTCTGCATTTCATGTTTTGTGATGGGAAATGTCAAAAAGAAAAACTCCCAATTAAATTTTTAAGAAATGTTTGTTATCCTAGTGAAAGGATAGGGAAATGCAGTTTTGGTGGTGTTCAGTGTAGTGAGCTTGTGTTAGTTATTCATACAATACACAAAAGAGGCCTTCCTAAGTATCCTGATCTTTTTAGTGTACGCATATTTAGAAATAAACCTATACTGATTTTCTGTGCTCTTAAAATGTATCGTAGTATGGATAATTGTTAAATATGTTTATATGCAATGTATATAAAATCACACAATGCTATAAAACTACTTAATAGTAGTATTGAATGCAATTTTGTGCCTCCTTTAGAAGATAGGTTACTAATAGAGCTGTTCCCCGCCCATGAACCTTCATCAAATTTTTATTTGAGGAACATAGTCCATTTCTTGGTAACAGTATGCTTTCTTTCCATTTGAAAATGCTTACTTGTTGTCTCTGAGGAGATGCTGTTTTGCTTTTTTTCTATTTTAGTTAATTTTAAGCTGATTACTGTTAAGTGAAACTGATAATAGAATAACTTCATCAACATTCTAACTTTTTTGCCATGGCAAACCTAAAATACATGGGTTCCTGTCTGGGTATTTTGTCTGATTGTGAGAGATACTAGATTTACTGTAAATATTCTAGAGATACTCAGGATAAAAACTGTTTTAAAAAGAAAAAAAGAGCTAATACCAGAGATGCAATTAATGCCATCCCTTCTGGATTTATAGAAAATAATTGTATGAACATGATTTCTCATCATCATATTTGGCACAGGAGGCTTTTAGTTTGAAGAAACATTTATGCTTCTGCATAATATTCCTCTACTGCTGAAAAAAACCCCACAAACTTTAAGAAGTAAAACTCCACATGCAAAACATTAAGAAACTGTGTAGTTTTAATGATGAAGTTAAATGTTAGTGGTGGGTCAAAAGTTTTCAAAGTGATTCGGCAAATTACTTGAGTAGTAGAGACAATATTGTTACCAGATTTTGAGGCTAGTTTCAGTGTCTAATAGGGATGATCCAAGAACATTTAGTTTCATCTGCTAAGAGATGATAGACTAGTGAACTACCAGAGGTCTCCTGCATATTTACTTTCTATAATTATATAGGGATGGCTCTATTTTCAAGGAGAAAGAAACAGGAGAGGAGGCATAGTGGTTACAAAATATGATAAAGGCTGTGTTTTCTACTCTTGTTTCACAGAAATGTCTCATACTGTTGGTTAATTCAATATTGAGAAGTTGTAGAAGAAAATCTGCTTTGGTTCTGTGAGACAAAGCTGCTGATTACGTTAACTGGACTTGCACTCCCTCTCAATTCCTTGTTTTTCTTTGGAATATTTCCTGTAATTTGGATAAGTTAGTGAGATCTGAGATTTGGTTTGCCTTTTTCTTTTTTTTTCCTCCTGAACTTGTGCTCACACTATGAAACTGCACTTGAAAAAAGGTATTCTGTGGGACGGGCACTTGAGGGTTTCTAAGCAACAAAAAAGAGATCTTTGGAGTAAGATTCTTCATAATATCTTTAATAATATTCTTTGTTAGGCCTCCTTTGAATGTTTGTAGTCTTCATTGAAGCTTGAGTCACTATAAAATGCTTTCTGGTGTTAAAGGAGATAAATATTATATATGCAATATTACGGTGGTTTTAAGTATTGCTTAGTGACCTTGCAGAAGGTATCATCATAGTCCTGTTCATGTCCAAAGTACTATTTTTTAATAGATTATGATTGAAAATGTTTATTTATGAATGGAATGTAGTTAAAATATGAATGGAATGTAGTAGAAAGTTGGGATTGAGTGTTCCAGCTTAGATACTTACAAGATTTTAAACCCATTTTCTGAGTGTATTATGTTTTCAACCACCGAAGAGGTGTATAAGCTGTGGAATCTGATTGAAAACAAGATTTATGACAGAAAATTATGTCATAGTCATATTTAGCTGTGAATATAGCCGGGGAAATTTTTAAATGAAGAATTAGCTTAATTTTTTGTGGCTAGTGTGATGAGAAATGCCCAGGATGTTGAAAGCAGGCCATACCTGGGAAACAAAGGGTTTTGTTTATAACATTTTTCCAAGTATTGCATTCTGACCCTGTTTTTTTTCTTTTTTTTTTTGTTTTTTTTGGTGGTGTTTTTTTTTTAATCAATGTTGTTTTCAGATCTTGAGTCAGATGACTGTGCATCCATATACATCTTTAATGTAGACCAACCATCATCCTCTGTAAATCAGCCAATTTGTATTCCTCGCCATGGATTCCAGTCTCACTCCACTCCTCTCTCACCACCTACAAGAATTCAGAGCCATAAGAACTATGACGGAACTTGTGAGGTACCAGAATCCAAATATAGTCCACTAGGTGGACCCAAACCATTTGAGTGCCCTAGTATTCAAATTACATCTATTTCACCTAACTGTCATCAAGGGATTGAAGCCAATGAAGATGAATTGCACACAAATGGCACAGAAAATGAGTATCTGGAAAGGCCTTCACGGGACCATCTCTATCTTCCTCTTGAACCATCATATAGGGAATCGTCCCTCAGTCCAAGCCCTGCCAGCAGCATTTCATCCAGAAGTTGGTTTTCAGATGCTTCCTCTTGTGAATCCATTTCCCACGTTTACGATGATGTAGATTCGGAGCTAAATGAAGCAGCTGCTCGATTTACCCTGGGCTCTCCCTTGGCATCCCCTGGTGGTTCTCCAAGAGGCCCCAGTGATGAGTCTTGGCAGCAACCTTATGGATTTGGGCATGCCTTGTCACCTAGACAGTCTCCCTGTCATTCTCCTAGAACTAGTATTACAGATGAAAATTGGCTAAGTCCTAGACCAACATCAAGGCCCTCATCAAGACCTACATCCCCCTGTGGGAAGCGACGACACTCCAGTGCTGAGATATGCTATGCTGGTTCTCTCTCTCCTCACCATTCTCCAACTCCATCACCTGGCCATTCTCCCAGAGGAAGCATAACAGAAGACACCTGGCTAAACACTTCCATCCATAATGTACAAGGCCTTAATTCTGGCCTTTCACCATTTCAGTGTTGTACAGAGACTGATATTCCTCTGAAAACAAGAAAGACCTCGGAGGATCAGACTGCGACTTTATCTGGAAAAATAGATATCTGTCCTGAAGAACAGGGGAACTTACCTTCATCCCTTGAAACTGCAGTAGATGACTGCTCTGGATCTCAGCACACCTTGAAAAAAGATTTGCCTGGAGACCAATTTCTTTCTGTTCCTTCGCACTTTACTTGGAACAAACCAAAGCCTGGTCATACTCCTATATTTCGGTAAGTGATTGCAGAGTCCTTCCCTCCTGTTTGTCCCCTCCTGTACATCTTAAATAGACATGTAAATTTGCTTGTATTTCAGTGATGCATTAAGACTTCTTAAAAAAAACTTCTTCTAGGCAGGTAGATGATATAATTAGGAAAAAACAAGTTGAGACACCAAACACACATCTTTTTCTTCTTTTAAGAACACAATAAATGCATTGTAACATCAGATAGTTTGTTTGCATACATGCACAGAGCCCAGCCGAATCAAAGGTCTACAGATTTTGTGCACACTTTGCTGTTCCATCTGAGCAGTTAACATTTTAATATAGCTAAAGAAATGTGGCTAACATGAGTTTATAAAACTGAGACCACAGAAAAAGTGGGATGTTTATTTGCTTTTGTTTTTACTCGCTTCTTTGGGCTGTTAGAATTCTAGAAATAGAATAAAGGACTGCATACCATACTGAATATCATCCAGAAAGAACTGATTGCTGGGCTATAGTTCCAGGGGCATTTCCTCCATTGTGCTGAGTTAACTAGCTCTTTTCCTGTTGTAGTCCTGTCTACAGGAGGATTTGTGGAAGTTCAGATGAGGGAACTGGTTCACTTGGGGGAAAAAAATCACCCTCCTTCACATTCTGTTACTTTTTAGGTGGAGCAGGTCTGTGATCTTTCCAATCATATAGCAGCAGGTGGACTAGAAATGAAAACTCCTTAAGCAGCATTGCTACTGGATGGACAGATAGTATGATTACTTTTTCAAGTTATCCATTTGATTCCTGAACCTTTTCCTTGCTCTACTGGGTTTTAAAAATAAAGGGTAAGGTGGTATTGGGAGCTGTGGACGTATTTTGTGTGGACATTTTGTAAGAAAGGTATATTCAGTTAATACCAGTAAAGTGCAATTACCTGTATAAAACCTGTATCACGGGTTTAAATGTCAGTGCTTCCATGCTGTTCTGTATTGATTGTTAAATAACTTTGATTAAAATAGTATCATTTTGCCCACAGGCAGTGCTTAAGATTTGGTCTTCAAGGATGTAGTGGATGAAGCAATTCCTCTTTCTTAAAGTGGGTGGCAAGGAATAGGGTAGGATTCTCCAGATACATGCTTTAATTTGAAAAAGGCAAAGCTTTAATACTGAAAGTCAGTGGCATAATAGTGTTCTCATTGCAAAGTCACCTTTGCAAAGCAGTTGTTTTCACACTCTGTGTTTTTAATTTTAGAAAGCATGGCTTAGAAAATATTAGTGGTTTTGAAATTTTCCTCCCCTGTATGACCTGCTCTCCCAAAGTAAGTGAAAATAAAGAACTGTTTCTGACCATGCTACAGACATGCCCGGTAGGAGGCTGGAGGTTTATGTTTGTTTGTTTGTTTTCCTGGCTCTCAGAGTTTTAAATTCTTAGTAGAAGAACTGTAATTAACTATTGCCTGATAAGCCAAGCTTACTGAAAAAGTATTTTTTTAGGGGACCTCCTTCAAAAGCACAACTTGTTAAAAATAGGATGCTGGGTTTTGTGCCAATATGCTAGTTTTTTGGTAATTTCCCTTTTTAGTAGCTTTTTCCAAATGCATATATCATTTTTGCATCATTTTAACATCTTGCTGTATTATTTCCAGATGAACAAGCCTGTTTCAACAAGCCTGTTGGAAAAAATGTTTTGGAATACCTGTTCCGATTCTCTGTTGAGTACACGAATATTCTCAGGGGTGTCCATCTTGTGGAATATAAAAGCACTCAGTCATCTTGTAAAGATTGCTATAGCTGACCCTTTGCAAGTATGCTTTAGGCAGAGAAATAATGCAAAAAATTCAGCTGTGACTTTTACTATTGAGTATCTGAGAAGGAAGTTATGAACACAAATGCTTGAGATATAAACCAGTACTTTAACGCTACAGTGAAACATCCTTAAAACAAATGGAAGATAAGTGAATAATAGCTTTAAGAGCTTCCTGAAGGGTAGCTTCTAATGCATACAAACAGATTTCAATGTTTGCCTGAATTCTAACACTGAGCATTTTAGTTTTAACGCTGAACACATTCGTGTGTGTTGATAGATCAGTGTCACACAGAAGGCTCAATTTTAGTAATACAAAGCTTCTATGAATTTTAACTGTTTTGTATAAGTTCTTTAGAAGTTGCCAACTATCTTAGATTGTTAATACCTAAACATATTTAAAAGTATATTTATTCAGCATTCTTGTCATTTTTGCATAATCATATATTTTAATCTCTCAGAAATCTATTGATTTTAGTGAGTAGAAGTGATTTATTTTCTTTCTTTAATGTCATTCCACATACCTGTTTATGAACATGACATTTAACATGAAAGACTCAAAACCGCTAGGTGGAAAATTCTGTTTTACCGGATCTGAAACTACTGTGTTGACAGATACGTTAACTGTCTTGAAGTTGGTTTTGGGTTTTTTTTTTTTCAATTCTGTTGCAGTCTGCTCGTCTGTTAATAAAAGGTGTTCAGTCTGGTGCTAGAATCTTTTCATTCTAACTAAAACGACAATAACTGTTTTTTCTTAACTGTGTGGGTTTGAATTGTATTATAATTATGTAGGATACTCAGCAGTCTGAATTTGGCATTTTTGTCAGCACACATGGTTTGTTAAAGGTGAGCAGCACTGAAAGGTAAAAGCACATGTACATATAGGCATGTAACAAGATGGGGTGTGAATCTATGGTTCTTCTGTGGGATGACCAAAATAGTTACCAAAATAGATACTCAGTTAAACCTGCTTCCTCTTGTAGTGTTTTCTTTAAGAAATAAGAATATTCTTTTAAACATCAGATTTTACTTAGAAGTTGGCACTGAAAAACTTCTCTAAATGTAAAATGGGCAAACAGGCAGAAGACAATAAAGATTTACACCTATTCACAAGTAAACTAAATAGAACTATTAAGCTGTATACATTTGCTGCCAAAAATGTAGTCTTACTGTTAAATTAGTGGGAACGGCTGCACTGGTAGCTGTATCCTTGGTGAAATGTTGAATTACTTAGCAGTTGGAGCCTGTTCCACAGGTGCTGTGAGGGTATGAATCTTCAGTATGTTAAAACATTTTGTTCTGCTATATAATATTTTATAACTTTGATGCTTATAAAGTAGAGCAGCTAAGTTGACTCTTATTTTTTATGAAGAAAAATTAAATGCAAGGTGGTCCACTGTTGCTTAAATGGTTTGTGGCAGTGACCAAAAGTGAGCACCTCTGTTGTCATGGACTTAGGTATTAATTGGAATTTATATATTTATTACATATTTTATATAGTAACATATTAATTGTTATATAAATTACAACATTATATTAAAGTTAATACACTTGTTAAATGTCTTGATGTGTCTTTTTAAATGTATTGCCAAGCACAAAGTAGTGCATGGAGTAAATGAGTATTGATCAAGCAGTGTGCACACTCAGCAGCAATAACCTGACCCTTGGTAGAAGCGGGAGTAACTTGCCTCCCAGGTGACAGTGTGAAGTGTGCAGATAGCACCTTCTTCTTTGAATGCTATGTGAAATTTTGTAAATCTGTAATCTAGTTCAGCTGTCAAGTCCTGACCCTGTTTTCCTGCTTTGTTCTGTGTTCAGTATGTGTGTGATACTTAACAACATTTTAAAATGTGGAACATGCTCCTGAGCCATCCAGACAATGTTGTTTATGACACCTTGCTACTTGGTCACAGAAACCCATAATCTGACAGCATGTAGTGTATGAAAAATGGGTGTGTATTTTGTGCCCAGAGTCACATTTCTGCTTCCTTGTCGAAGGTAAGTCTAGACAAGCGAGGATGGACAGAACCAGTACTGCAACAATTCCTTTCAAAAAGGGAAAAGGAAGTAGGTAGTGTCTTCTGTATCTAGGAATAGTGAGGGTGTCTGTCACTAATGTCGTTAATCAAGCACCTGGGCAGATGAGCACTCCTTCGGTGGCAGATCAAATTGGTCATTTTACGGAATATTTAGCAATGAAGTTACCTGATAATTTTATTTATTACACACGTACTTTTGTTACTGTTATTTAAGGTACCTCTTTCTTCCACCCCCAGTCTCCCCTGAGGATGATGGATGAGAAATGGCTTTATCTCTCTCATGTTTTCCTCCCCTCCACTTGGAAAATCCCTTTCTTTGAGTATCTTGATGTAGTGATGATAGACGTGATCTCCCTATTTGCTTATTATCCCAACATTTCATAAAGATGCTGATTTTACTTTTTCTTGCACATCTACTATTAAAGCTTGAGTTTACTCCCAGAAAAAAAAAACAACATTGTTTCTATTGTTTCTCACTAAATATCTTTGAGACATTTCTGGCCTTTCACATATGGTTATATCAGATTCTTTTATTAATTGGATTCTTTTTCTTTCACTCTTTTCCCAAATTCTGTATTGGCTGTTGGAAGGAAACATGCTTCAAGTTCACTTTCTTATTTAGATAGCCTGTGTCAGTGTAGGTTATAAATAGTCTAGAAGAATACCAGAGAAAGTGTTTCTTCCTAGAGTTTGTTCATACTCAAATACCTGAATTTGATCTGCTGGCTCATACAGAGGCACCGTCTGAATGGGGTTAGTATGCTTATGTGAATTATCTTAAGTGTGTCCTTAAGTCTTTGAAAGTTTGTGAAATTTCTACTTAGAGGCTATTACATAAATATTTGTGGACTCAGGTAATACTGGGAAGCTCTTCAAGACTGATCCCTTTTATTAAAAATTTCTTGTTCAGACTCCAGCCAGCCTCCTCAAGTACAAAGCTGCTGTATGAGGAAGGTGAATAGCAAATAATATTTTGAAGTTATATATATTCTTGTTTTACTGAAGTTAATGTTCTCAGTTACAAGATACATAGTTTCTGTGATAAACTTTATTTTACAAATTTGATCAAGAGAAATAAAAAGAATATAGGAATGACCCAGAAACCTGTGCTGAATAACCAGTATACAATAATGCTTTTGGTGAGGACTTGTGACTAAAAGCACAATTCATAAGACACCAGCAACATTTATGGTG